GGGGTGTGTGGGGAGGAAGGGGTACGGTGCGGATGGATGGATATAAGAACACACAGAGGAATGTAGAAGGGAGTTCAGGGGAGCACAGGAGCCCTTGGGGCTCTGATATCTGCTGCCCTGGCACTGGGGCTTTTGGATGCCCTGTGGGTTTAGCTGTTTTCTGGGGAGGGTGGAGCAGTCTGGAACCATGGCTAATGATCATTGGGGTGGCTCACCTGCCTCCACCCCTCCCAAATCCACCCAGCACAGCTCTCACTTGGCACTCCCAGTGCTCCACTCAGATGGGGGGATTCAGCCCAGAGCCCTGGCTGTGTAGAGGCTTGGCTAAGCAACTGCCTCTGTGTGTGTGTGGGGGGTGCCCCCCTCAACTCTCTGATCCCCATCCTGGCAACACTGGCCCCTCTGGTCTCTGCTCCTGCTAGTGGGGGCTGGATATGTGCCTGGCAGGCTTCCTCTCCCAGTGTCTGCCCCTGGCCCCAGCTCACAGAGATGGAGTGCCTGGCATGGCATTGCGCTCAGTACCGGAGTCCCTCCTGGACACTGCTGCAGAGAAGCTTGCAGCACTGGGATCCCAGCTGGTTCAGAGGGGCTGCTGCAGCTCCTGCTTCCACAGGGAGGGGCGGTGGGGACAGGAGAGGGCCGCGGGGCTCATCCCTGCTCCAAGAGCCCATGTGGTGACACTGGGTAGTGCAGGCTGGGAGCTGGAGGGCTCAGATGAATCCCATGTCCCCCTCCCCGAAGCAGTGGTGGGAACCCTCCAGGAAGGCTAATGGCACCGGGACCAGTGATTTATTGAAGGGAGGGGACAAGTGTGTGTGTGAGGTGTTCCCCATACAGCATCTGTGGCACCCAGTCCCCCCCATATAGTGTCCAGAGCGCCTGTCACTTCTGGGCACTGTCCCCACTGGGCCGGATGCGGTAGCGCTGTGTGAACTCGGCGTGTTTCTGGCGCAGGAGCTCCTGCTGCTTCTGGAAGCCATTGGCCCTGTGGGAGGAGAGGTGCAGGGGCCGGGTCACACTTGGGACAGTGATGCTCAGCATCATGCACTAACATGTGTGAATGCACATGCTCTAACACGCACTGGTGCATCCATGCACATGTTAACGCAAACTCAGGCACACACACTAAAGTGTGGGTATGTGCATGCCCTAGGACGCTAACATGCTAGTTCATGGGGGCACACACTGTAACATGCTAACACCCACTACTGCATGGGGGCATGGTAACACGTGCCAGTGCATGAAGCACACACTAACATGCAAACATATGCTAGAGCATGGGGGTACATGCTAGTGTACAGCTGCACACATATTCTAACACAAACTAGTGCACACGTTTGTGTTCATATGCCCAATAACACATGCTCTAGTGCACATGCCCATTCTCTAACACATTAGTTCAGATGCCCCAGGGCACGTGCACACTCCAACCCATGCTGGTGCACACACACCCTGTGTCGTCTGCACATGTTCTAGCACACACGGATGCTAACACACTAATGCACCTGGTGTTGGACACTAACACACATTCATCCACACCCTCGTGAGTGCGCACACACACGCCTGCATTTCCACTCCCAGCCATTCAAGCTGATGGCCCCTGGCTAGCGGCTCATCGCTCCCCTTGCGATGGCTGGGGGCATGTGAGGTGGGGGAGAGGGGAATGCCCAGAGGGCACTGAGGGCCAGCAGGCGGTGAATGGAGGGAGAGATTCCCCCCGCTCCCCAGAGGTTGGTGGAAGCTGGCAAGGAGTAAACTGGGTGGGGGGCAACATTGGTGAACAGAGGGGAGGGATTCCCAGAGGGCAGAGGACACCCACATGAGGTGAAGGAGGGGGAAGGGATTTCCCAGAGGGTGAGGGGCAGCATGGTGTCAATGTGGAGGAAGACTCCCCAGACGGTGGGGGGGGGGGCAGCATGGGGTGAACAGGGGTATTCCCAGAGAGAGGGGGGTCCCAGCATGGGGTGAACAGGGGTATTCCCAGAGAGCAGGGTGTCCCAGCATGGGGTGAACAGGGGTATTCCCAGAGAGAGGGGGGTCCCAGCATGGGGTGAACAGGGGTATTCCCAGAGAGAGGGGGTCCCAGCATGGGGTGAACAGGGGTATTCCCAGAGAGCGGGGTGTCCCAGCATGGGGTGAACATAGGGAGAGGTCCCCAGAGGTTCTGGCAGCAGCACTTTATCCCAGCCCAACTGCCAAAACCTCTGGGAGAGGAAATCCTTGTCCCCAGGTATGGAAAGGGAAACTGAGGCAGGGGCTGGGGGAGCTGTGCAAACCTGGCCCGCTCCTTGGATTCATTGTAGATGCTGGTTATGAGCATGTCCTTCTTGTCCATGAAGCTGTTGTGCACCTCCTCCAGCTTCCTGCTGAGAACACGGGGCAGGGTTACACACATCGCCCTGCACCCTCCCGTGTCGCTGGATGGGGGTGGGTGGGGATGGAGAGTTCAAAAGATGAATGCAGCCGCATGTCTGGGGACGGATGGATAGATCTGTGTGTCTGAGTCTATATGGATTAAGTGTGTGTGTCTGTCTCTGTGCTGTGTGTTCATGGTGGATGTGCTGTGTGTGTCTCTGTATGATGTGTGTGTATCTCTAAGGGGTGGGGTGTATGAAGTGTGACTGTTCGGTGCAGTGTGTGTGTGCCACTGTGAAGCATGTATGTGTGTCTGTGCGGTGTGTATGTGTATGCATGTGTGTGTGCAGTGTGCGCACACAGTGTGTCTGTACAGCATGTATGTGTGCAAGTATGTGTGTGTCTGTGCAGTGTGTATGTGTATGCATATGTCTGTGCAGTGTGTGTGCGTGTGTGGTGTGTATGTCTGTGTGGTGTGTATGTGTGTGTGAGTATGTGTGTGTGGCACGGGGTGTGTGTGTGTGAATCTGTGTCTGTGCAGTGTGCACGTGCGGTGTGTGTCTCTGTGTGGTGTGTATGAGTGTGTGTGGTGTGTCTGTGCAGTGTGTGCACGTGGTGTCTGTGTGGTGTGCGTGTGTATCACAGCAGGGCTCCCGCCTTCTCTCTGCTCCAGGCTACGCTCTAGCAGGCTGAATGCTATGTGCACCAAGACCGGGCCCGAAGTGGCGGCTGGGGCTGGCTGCCCAGTGCCGGCTGACAGGGGGTCCCAGGGCACTGTCCCCCTTGCTGGGGCGCCAGCTGGAGGTGCGGACTGCACTGGGCACTGGGCAAGCGGT